TTTAAAAGAACAATTTTTGAATGACGTCAATGCTAAGAGTCAAGGATTCCATTTTGGAAGATAACTAAGAAGACCCACGGCACATTACCAAGACCCACGGCACATTACCAAGACCCACGGCACATTAACAAGACCCACGGCACATTACCCAGACCCACGGCACATTAACAAGACCCACGGCACATTACCAAGACCCACGGCACATTAACAAGACCCACGGCACATTTAACAAGACCCACGGCACATTAACAAGACCCACGGCACATTAACAAGACCCACGGCACATTAACAAGACCCACGGCACATTAACAAGACCCACGGCACATTACCAAGACCCACGGCACATTAACAAGACCCACGGCACATTAACAAGACCCACGGTCAATTAACAAGACCCACGGCACATTAACAAAACCCACGGCACATTAACAAGACCCACGGCACATTAACAAGACCCACACGGCACATTAACAAGACCCCATAATTTCGTAAAAGTCGACTATTTATAAGTTTGCTGAAATCGATGTGTTTGGTCGAAAGGCGCAAATATCGCAGCCTAGATGTAAATCACAACACAACGTTCAAACCGCTTTTGTTATGACAAACGCAGTAAGTAAGTAAATAAATTTAACCCCACCAGGACATCACACAGAGCAATAAACACCAGGGGACACAAAGTGCCACCTTGCGGATGAGGATCACCCGTGGAGAAGTCCCAGAAACTGCATTCAACAATAAGACATTGCGGCCCGTGGGGCTTTGAAATAACGAAAAATTGCATCCAACAAGGTGGATGACAGAGATGACTTGTGACAAACGCATAAGTAGACCAAGTTTTGAATATTATTAAGTTGAGACGATTATTGTGTCTTTCTCAACCTATCAGATATGCTAACTCTGCCTTATTCTGCTGTGTTTTTTTTTTTTTTTTTTCGTCAGCTCAAGGAGTGTTGTAGGTGTAGGGCTGTTGGAATGTTCGGCTTTCTTCCGAATAACGGTCCCAAATTATCGAGGCAGAAAATATACGCTAACAGAACCTCAGTCACGTGTCAATTGCGCACTTCCGGCAACAAATTGCGCACTTCCGGCGACTTGCGCCACCGCCGAGAGTATCCCGCACGCCGCTCACGCAGCGTGGATTGGGGCTAATCTAGATGGCTGGGACTCACGAGCAGCAGCTACCGCATTTCCTGCAGCTGCCTTCATTTTATTCGCTCGTTAGTCACAGCCATCTAGTTTAGCCCCAATCCACTCTCGGCGGCATAGTCCACCGAAAGTACGCAATTAGGCGGTGGCGGTCTAGTCCCCGGAAGTGCGCAATTGACATGTGACTGAGGCTCTGTTAGGGTATATTTTTGTGTCCCGATAATTTGGGACCGTTAATTGGAAGATAGCCGAATGTTCTATGTACTTAATCTAATGTTATAGTTAATCATCATTTCCCTAATGTGGTTCTTGATGTAGTGATTTTATTTTGTGAGTAATCTCCCCTAGCTCATTGCTGATTATAATTTTTCTGCATTTCTTTGCGTGGTAGCTAGTACCAGAGCATTCTTTTGGGAAGGCCAAACCATTTCACTTATTGTTCTTCAATGATCCGTGTGACTGTTTCTAGTCTTCTTCTTATATTCTTCTGAACTTGTTTACTGTATATCTCCCTGTTACTCTGACAGCTCGAGTAAAACACCTCATCTCTGATGTTGTTTAATTTTTTTCTCTCACTGGCTGTACTGAGGGTCCATGTTTCACACTAAATCTCGACTGTCATATACCTCAGTTTAGTTTTTTTCCTCCTGCTAATAATATCGCAGCAGTTCATCTGCATCAATCTGGCTTCAATATTGTCTTAGTAAACTCACTGTGTTCGTCACTTTAATTAGGTAGGTAGGTATGCAAGTTGTACCCCACCAGGACATCACACAAGCGGTAAACACCAGGTGACACAAAGTGTCACCATGCGGTTGAGGATCACCCGTGGAGAGGTCTCGGAAACTCCGTTCAGCCGTTAGGCCATATATAAGGCCTGGCTATATTTAGAGTCCCCGGTAAACGCCAGGGTGGGGCTTCAAAATAACTAAAAATTGCATCCCACAAGGGGGTGACGATCTAAGTAGTGATTATTTGATTAGCCGAATCCATTCCTTTTTTTTTCCCACACACAAGTTTCAATGATTTTAGTTTAAAAAATATTATTACTGGTGCATATGTACTTCTTGAGTATACTTACTTGTATAAATCAGGAGATGAGATCAAATTTAAATCTCCCATAATAATGTTTTCAAAAATAGATGTTAGACAGGCAAACAGACAGATGGACTGACAGACAGACATGATGTTGTTAGCAGATCACACACAACAGCAGACATCAGATGTGAATGAATGTTTCAACAATCAGCCCATCATTCAGGTACACTTCGTGTCTACATAGTATATATAGTGAATTGTTCAACAGATCATTTTTCAGTGTTGACAAAATTACCATGTCCCCAGTGTCTCCAACAACCGTGGCAAGACATATACTAACGTTATTTCAGATACGGCTCATCGTCACCAACTGTAGGCGTGCTTTACTTTTTCACATTACACAGACGAGCTTTTGCAAATAAACGGATAGAATATATTATTGTTAATGTTTAATCTCTCCCATTAGTTTCTACCTGGTATCTTCAAGTTTTGTGTATCAATTATCTATTTTGTTTCTTACTCTAGAGAGCATATAGTCTTTATTACTGTAGAGAGTGTGTTTTGTTTATAACTATAGAGAGTGTACTTTGTTTATACCTACAGAGAGTGTACATTGTTTATAACTACAGAGAGTGTACATTGTTTATACCTACAGAGAGTGTACATTGTTTATAACTACAGAGAGTGTACATTGTTTATAACTACAGAGAGTGTACATTGTTTATAACTGCAGAGTGTGGACAATGTTTATAACTACAGAGAGTGTATATTGTTTATAACTACAGAGAGTGTACATTGTTTATAACTACAGAGAGTGTATATTGTTTATAACTACAGAGAGTGTACATTGTTTATAACTACAGAGAGTGTACATTGTTTATAACTACAGAGAGTGTACATTGTTTATAACTACAGAGGGTGTATATTGTTTATAACTACAGAGAGTGTACATTGTTTATAACTGCAGAGAGTGTACATTGTTTATAACTACAGAGAGTGTACATTGTTTATAACTACAGAGAGTGTACATTGTTTATAACTACAGAGAGTGTACATTGTTTATAACTAAAGAGAGTGTACATTGTTTATAACTGCAGAGAGTGTACATTGTTTATAACTAAAGAGAGTGTACATTGTTTATAACTGCAGAGAGTGTACATTGTTTATAACTACAGAGAGTGTATACATTGAGTGTACATTGTTTATAAGTGCAGAGAGTGTACATTGTTTATAACTGCAGAGAGTGTACATTGTTTATATCTACAGAGAGTGTACATTGTATATGACTACAGAGAGTGTACATTGTTTATAACTACAGAGAGTGTACATTGTTTATAACTGCAGAGAGTGTACATTGTTTATAACCACAGAGAGTGTACATTGTTTATAACTACAGAGAGTGTACATTGTTTATAACTGCAGAGAGTGTACATTGTTTATAACTACAGAGAGTGTACATTGTTTATAACCACAGAGAGTGTACATTGTTTATAACTACAGAGAGTGTACATTGTTTATAACTGCAGAGAGTGTACATTGTTTATAACTACATTGTTATAAGAGAGTGTACATTGTTTATAACTACAGAGAGTGTACATTGTTTATAACTGCAGAGAGTGTACACTGTTTATAACTACAGAGAGTGTACATTGTTTATAACTACAGAGAGTGTACATTGTTTATAACTGCAGAGAGTGTACATTGTTTATAACAGCAGAGAGTGTACATTGTTTATAACAGCAGAGAGTGAACATTGTTTATAACAGCAGGGAGTGTACATTGTTTATAACAGCAGAGAGTGAACATTGTTTATAACCACAGAGAGTGAACATTGTTTATAACCACAGAGAGTGTACATTGTTTATAACCACAGAGAGTGTACACTGTTTATAACTACAGAGAGTGTACATTGTTTATAACTACAGAGAGTGTACACTGTTTATAACTACAGAGAGTGTACATTGTTTGTAACTACAGAGAGTGTACATTGTTTATAACTACAGAGAGTGTACATTGTTTATAACTACAGAGAGTGTACATTGTTTATAACTACAGAGAGTGTACACTGTTTATAACTACAGAGAGTGTACATTGTTTATAACTACAGAGAGTGTACACTGTTTATAACTACAGAGAGTGTACATTGTTTATAACTACAGAGAGTGTACACTGTTTATAACTACAGAGAGTGTACATTGTTTATAACTACAGAGAGTGTACATTGTTTATAACTACAGAGAGTGTACACTGTTTATAACTACAGAGAGTGTACATTGTTTATAACTACAGAGAGTGTACATTGTTTATTACTACAGAGAGTGTACATTGTTTATAACAGCAGGGAGTGTTTGTTGTGTCTTACTGCAGAGATAATTTTTATTGTTTACTTTTTTTAGATGTTAGTCATTTTTGTGTTCAGAGGGTATAGTTTCCTAAATGTAGATGTTTATATTGTTTCTTACTGTCGATAGTATATATTGTTTTTTACTGCAGAGAAACACGTGCACACATGCATACAAAAGCCCACATGTTGCAGTACATACGAAAAGTTGATTCCCTAAAATATGTCTTCTGTTTATGCATCAGATAATGAAATTGCAAACATTCCGAAACTATCTTGTTTCTACCCTCCTTGCCTACCTATATATAGATTCTCCCAGCGACCTACATTCTGGAGCCAGCTGTATCAGCCCCCACTGATAAGTCGGATAATCTGGCCCGGTGGTGAATTCAGTGTAACGGAGACAAGACATTAGACTAGAGCCTGGACCTTTTCTGCACGAGTAATTCCTGACTCTGACTGAACCTGGGAGAAAATGTCCAAATCGGTAAGTAGAGAATTGTACCTTTACATGCCTACATGTTACAGAGACTGTGCACAAACTGCAGACTCTAGAACTATAAACTTAAATGTTTCCATGTTCGAAACAATAGAATTTTTTTTTCGTCAGCGGCTGCAGACATCTGTTTCTTCTTGTGACGCTGGGGTGTTTTTCCCTTCTAGCTTCAACCAATCGGATGAGGTAGAATATTAACAAGACCAGATCGATTTCTATTAATAAGTGACCCCAGTGTTCCACAACAATGTCCAATATCTAGGCTTTTCAGTAACATCTAACAATAAATGTGACAAGGTGATAATATGAAGAATGCTTTCTATTTTTATAGACTTATAGTCTTGTCGCTAGCCCCTTTACAATCCATACCATTGCTTAGTACCCATTTAAGGCTGGTCTACGTGAAATCCGAGATCAGTGACAGAAGTCAGGCTGGATGCAGGTTCGAAATACCTCCGGGACAGTCAACAATGACAAGCGTCTAGTCGACATGGACTTAATGTTCAATTTATGAATCCCATGTGTGTTTGTGTGTTTGCGCGCGCGCGCGTGAGTGTGTGTGTGCGCGCATGTGTGTGTGTGTGCGCGTGTGGGTGTGCGTGCATGTTTGTGCGTGTGCGTGCGTCCTTGTGTTTGTGTTCTTCGTTATTATCTAGTGGAGCTTTGAAAGTTCGTACTTTGTGCAACACTCTTTCCGGTGTCGTGTCGCTCTGTGAAGCGACATTGGTACATACGAGATAAAACAGTACAAAATCAAGCTAATCCCGGCCATTTTAAGCATTTTTGTGGCTGGATTATACCGTGTGCTAGGCTTTTCTTATTCTTCTTTTGTCATCTCACTGTTACCAGGTTGTAACCCAGTGTCGTGGTTTTCTGTATTCGTCTTTGGCTTCTCTAGGTTGCTTGGGTGATAGATTTGTTGAACTTTTGCAGATGTCATCTACACCATTTATCTATCTGTTTCTTTGTCATCCTGCCGCCTTCCTCCCAGATGTTCTACTGTAAAAAGTCTCATATGCAGTCTGGTCTGGCTGCATTCTCAATAGATGGTCGAACCAATTCATTCCTTGTCTGTCAATATAATCAAGACATGGTCTTATTTAAACTTTCTCTCTAATGCTGGTTATCCTAACCCTGTTAGTGTTGTCAGTGACCTTGCGGAGACAGCGCATTCCCCATGTGGTTATGTTCTGTTCTAGTGCCCAATTCATTGTTTGGCACTGATATAATAAAGTAGGGATAAAGATACTATTATTCATTTGCTGTTTTGCTGGAAGGAAGACATTTGGGTGTCTAAACAGTGTGCTAGGATGTGTAGTTTAAACGTTGTTGCCTACTTGGCCCATACAATGAAAGCGTTAGTCTTGCCCTGTCTCAGCAACCAGCCTTAGCCACTATTTTGTTTGTCAGACAGGGATTTTCCACTTTCTGCTTACAGTATCTAGTATGATTTACTGCCCACTGATTGTTATCATGAAGTAATATTGCATAATGGCGTGGTGTTAAACACATGACCCATTAAGTGCGGACTGGTGTATAAAATACAGGTCTAGCCCTATACGCCCAGTAACCTGAAGGCGTGGACAAGGTCCTTTACCTTACTTAATTGTGTAACAACGGTTTGAGCCTTGAATTAACAGGAAGTATGAGATACAATTATCATCCTCACAAACTGCCCACTGTCTATCCCCACAAATGTGCAGTCGCCCACTAAAAATACAAGGGCATTGATCCCGATAAGAAACATGCAACTATGTATTTAGAATTTAGTTGTATTCTATCCTGCATACAGAAAGGTGCTAGCGATAGCACGCTTTGGCACTGAAGTAACGTGCTTACATATGCATTACATTTATGGTCAGAAAGCACGTGTAAACACATCACACACACACACATACACACACACACACACACACACACACACACACACACACATTCACGCCTCAAGTTTAGCACGTAGGACTTCTGTTCAGCGTCCATGCCCTAGGACCGTGATCACTATCTGTGCCTAGACTAGAACATGTTCTCGACGCTACTGTCAAAGACACTTCACATATTTCAGTCATGTCTGTTTACATAAATTGTTTAATATCTTCTTTTTTTAAGGGAGTGGGTTTGGGGGGTGTTATTTCTGCATTATTACATTTTATTTTGTCATGACACATTTCAGTTTGCACTTTTTGAGAAAGCTTTGTCTGTTTTTGTTTTGGGTAATTACTCGTTTCCATCATTTTAATTTTTTTGGGAAAAACAAGAAAAAAGTCACAAAAAACAAGAGATGTACAAAAATGAAAGAAGGAGAAGAAGAGAAGAAAAAGAAGAAGAAGAAGACGAAGAAGACGAAGAAGAAGAAGAAAAAGAAGAAGAAGAAGAAGAAAAAAAGAAGAAGAAGAAGAAGAAGAAGAAGAGGGAAAAAAGAGGAAGAAAAAGAAGATGAAGATGAAGATCCAGTCTAGATTTTATTTAAGGAAAATGTCACTAGGAAGAAAAGGCTGTCTTTGACTACATCACTCATCAATTGGTGATGAGTTTATAAACACATGGGAGCCAACGCGAGGGCCAGTCCTACCGTTGTCCCCATACGCTTCCTCAAGGCTGGGCAGATTCACAAAGGTAGACTCAACAATGTCGCATACGCTCCATCTATGCTAGACTCTGCGAGGGACTGGTTACTGGCAGTTGACCTGCTTGGCCATCAAGGGTACCCTGAGTCAATCCGGAAGACCGGCCTGCGACCTGACATAGTTCTCCACTTTGCGGAGAAACGGCAGCTCATCCTGACTGAGCTGACCGTCCCGTATGAATCGCGAATGGACGAAAGCCATATGTACAAGCTCGAGAAGTACAGTGACTTAGCAGCCGGTCTGAGGAGAGACGAAGCGTACACAGTAAGAGTCTTCGCCGTCGAAGTCGGCGCAAGAGGTCTCGTTGCCACTTCACTCTACAATGTGATTAAAGAACTAGGCTTGCGCGGTAATGAACGCAAACGGACACTTAAACAGCTGGGCGAGGTTGCTGAGAGGGCCTCGAGCTGGCTTTGGACACAACGAAACAACGTAGGGAACGGGCCTCGGGGAGCTGGTCCAGGTGTCTAGCGGGAAAGAATTTCTCATCCCTTAAAGTCTATCGTGTCCGAATTGTCTTCCAGTGTCCCTCTGCCACCTGCTAACAAAGTCCAACATGTGACCGGTAAACCAATCGTAAGCTTGTCGCTCTGTCGTCCAGGTATGCAGACAGCTTTAATTATGCTACCGCGACGACTTCTTATCTCACAGTACCTTCTGCAAAATCACCAATTCGTCTTGTCCCTGTCCGAATAACATCCAGTAATTCGTACAGCAGGGGAAACCAACCATGAGCTTCATGAACTCAGGTGGGCCCAGTCTCTGAAAATGTAAAGGAGCTCGTGGGCCGAAACATTTGTCGACGATAGGGTACTTCTACTTATGACTGGTAGGCCCCTGCTGCACATGCTCCCCTGTGGAGTTTCTTCTTATTCTTACAGTAGTATAAACTGTCGTTTAAATACTAACTTCCTTTTAACAAAACAGTGCCACAAAAGTTGTAAAGGGAAGATAACGATGAAGACATGCGACAACTAACCAGCTAACAGATTCCGGGTGTGAACGAGGTCAAATGTCGAGGGTTGCACTCCTTTTCTGGTCGGTAAATAATAAGGAGGTCAAAGGTTAAAGTCCATTCTACCTGTATGCTAGCGTGTTTCCGGTTAAATCTTAGCCAATAATTCTGTTATCGTCATGTAACAGGTCCTTTGCTCTCCAGCCTCGTGTACCTACATACTCAAAGTGTCACTTATATCCTGTGCTAATTATCGTGTTGGTAAGCCCCTGCCCCTCTTTCCTGGTACCATGCCTTCTGTTATATTTTTTTTTCCAATCAGCCATGCCGCTTGATATGACTAAAGTATTTCGGCTTTCGAGTCAAGATATTGCATATTAACCAGTCTCCTTTGTGTTCAGATCTTTCATAATGTCAGTATTCCTTCTCTTCTTTGTCGATGGTATTCTGAGAATCTTTTTTTTTTTTTTTTACAGCATTTCAGATCAAAAGCCCCAATTTTGTTTTTTAAGGAGTGTGAGATAACCCCCAACTCATATCCGTATGTTGTTCAGGAAAGATGCATTCTCTCAAAGTTTTAATTTTGATTTCCTTGCTGATGCTTAACCAAAGACTGTTAATGCTGTTTAATAATTATTTCTCACAGATGGTTTAACCTTATTGTTTCAAGTACTACATGTATTGTTTATGATCCCTTTTTAACCTCTGTTAACGCAAAAGGACGTAGAGCAAGAGGTAAACCAGAACAATATGGAAGGATAACAGCAGAGAAACTCTACAACAGCACGATGTGCCTGTGGTCGAGGCGGCCAGAAGAGCTAGAAACAGAACCTTATATATTCCTCGACACCCATAGCGGTAAAAGAGGAAGTCAAGAAGAAGAAGAAGAACGCAAAAGTTCGCAACTGTAACTGTTGCCAGATATGTCCTTGAACTCTCAGCTGTACTTGTGCCTAACATGGCCAGTGTTTTCTCTTCAAGTTTTACCACAAGCCATCTGTCATGGCTGACACTGGGAGGTCAGCATTATCGTAGATGACTTTAGACAGGTTTTACACGCCTGTACTAGTGACTAGCTGCATTCAGACATGTGAGACTGTCTGCGTCTTCGCCCATCTCAACGGAACAAGTTCCCTAGGGACTACATAGTTTGTCCAGTACGCGTGCGCAATGTTCGCATTACTTGCCCTACATGTTGTTATACTTCCTTCACTTGCCAGGCCGGCTTCGTTTCTGACCTACTAAAGAAATTCCCTCGTGCAACATTGTTGCATGGCGCCAAGGACAAATGATCGTTCTCTATTGCTATCTCAGTCCACATACCTACATATGCAAGCACACTCACACACACACACATACACTTACACATCTATACATATACGCTCTATCACTTTCTTACAAGCACACACTGA